TCGGTTCTGACGATGCCGGTAGGTTCAACGGCCTGGCTGATTCTTTGGCGCCAGCAACAGTAATCAGTGAAATCGACGTTGGTTGAGAAGGTAAAACATGGAGGTGATATTTTCTCAGTTAAGCATGGAGTTTTTCCGTCTTCTTCTGCAGGCACAAAATGTTATCTTGTGTTTTTACCGGTTTCCTTAGGGATCCAAAATTGTGTTGGTAACAAAGAAAAATAATAGAGCTAAAAAGGAAAGAAGAAAACAGAGTTGCTCGTCTGGCGAGTGAAGTCTGTATTCAGGAACAAAGAAAGTTCAGCGCTGAAAGAAAATACCTCCTATGGCTGCTTGTGCAGTTGCAGAAAGGCAAAGTTTGTTTACCTCCTTACAGTCCTATGACAGACGGGGAATGACGATGAGGGTTCGGAGGTGTTTTATACCTCCGTTGACAAAATGGCTATACTTCCTGGGATTACTCTGCCTCCTGAAAGCTTCAGCCAATACAAACCTTTGGTTTGGTTTTAAAGTTTAGAGCTCACAGGTAGGTGTGAATTAACAGACTAGGGCCATCTGAGCTTTCTATTGTTCTCTGACCCCCTTTGTGTAGTCAAACATGTAGTCGTCATGGTTGCGCGGCCCAACACTAGTATCTGATTAAACATGTAAATTGCATGTTTGCTCGGCCTCGGGGGGTGCTCTCCCTACTTTATGGCATTTCCATGTAGGCACGTGGATAGGCAAGTGAGGTGTGCTCTCCCTGCCTCATGCTTTCCACATAGGCATGTGTAAGCTGCCTCATGGCTTTCCACGTAGGCGCATGGATGGGCAGGGAGATCCCAGAACAGAGCCATACTACCAGATATAATTTTGAAATATCAGTCTTTGATGAAAGTTGTCCTGACTGAATTAAACATTACTTTCCCCCCCTCCCTGTATCAATAAGGTGTGGTTGCTCTTTACCAAGAATTTAGAATTTAAAGCGATATAGAACCGCAATATAGGTTAGCTTAGCCTAAACTATGTCAAAAAGTCAGGCAATGCTAGCTCTAAATATTAGGGGAGAGCGGGGTAAGTTGTCTCGTGTGTAAGTTTTCACACTGCTCATAACTCCAACAATAGAGGCTCTATGTCAAAAATCAAATCGCCATTTTGTGTGACTTCTTTTTCTATGTTCAACTTACTGTTCACATGTGGTCAAGGTCACTTTAATCTGACACAATTTTATGATTTTTTTGCTTAAAAGTAAAACATTTGCACTTTACATTTTATGTATTCCAACCTTCTTAGGTATAAATGTTCAAAATGATAACTTTGCACAAAGTAGAGGAGACAATAACGTGTCTTTTGATACTTCTGCTGAAGTGCTATGTTAAGCTCGCCTTGAGATTTAGCTAAAATTAGCACCTATGATTTGCACAATGTCAGTTTGGGGCTAGTTGTCTCAATGACCAGTACAAATAAACATAGAACATGCTCAAAAAAATGTGAAATTGTGTAATTACCTCTGACATCAGTATTAAATGTTACTGTAAATAGAATATTATACACTGCAGTTTACAGCAGCAGCCATATGCCTGGACAAGAGTATATACGGTCTTGTACCGTAGGCATGTAGTATGTTAGTAGATACAAACACACACACACTACTATCATCCAGTTATTAATTTAGTTAGTCAACAAGGGTAATAGACAAATACAAAAATAAAAAAATTAATTTGGAATTGCAATGAGGAATGTGTTTTTGAAGGAAGGAAGAAAACAGAAGACAGAGAATGATAGTACACCATCTGACATAATGTTAAAGGCAGTCAAGCAGGTGAAGTTGAAGAACAAATCAATCAGAAGTACAGCTAAAGATTTTGACGTAAGCCGCTGACATCTCTTTTGGCCTCATCTATGTGGAGCCATTTTCATGCAGTATTCCAAAGAAGACGTAGTTAAAGTGTGTGAAATTCAACAAATGGGCCTGCGATGCTTGCACCTCAGGCCAGTCAATTTATGTGTGCCAGAACTGTGACTCTAAACACATGTCTGATTAGTCAGATACATATGTATGTTGTACAGAAATGCAAAATTAGTTTCATTAGTGTGTTTAAACACCACATCTATTTAGTTAAGAAGTTACACATTTAAGAAAGTTATCTGCAGCATTACATTCAATTACCATAGATCTATTTGCACTCCAGAGAACGTTTGATTTTAAAGTTCAAAGAAAGAGGTTGTACCCCTTAATGTGAGCTCTGCCAACATTTTTGTTTTGAGTTAAATTATTTACAATCCAAATTCTCTAGGCTTGATTGTTGATTGATTTTAATTTTAGTTCTGGTTACAATTTGAAACTCACTGATCAATATTCACAAGTTTCTAACTGTTTGATAATCCAGTGTGACAACTTACCTGCCAATGGGGCAAATTGTCACAAGTGCACACTCTCTATTCAGCAGTCTACAACTCCATAATGAGATGATGCAATGAATACAAAACGTCTGCCCTAAGACTTCATTCTTTCATTTTGTATGACATTTGTACCATTGTGATGTACGGTGCTCAGTAAATATTAGACAGTGTGAAAAGTGTGACAACATACCTCGCTTTCCCCTACTCAGTATTAAATTTTCTTTTACATTTTGATTTAACTACATACATGCTGCTGGGCTAAATGGGCTAAATATTAGAATCAATGCATTTATTGACTAATTCCAAAGACGCTTTCAAATTCCCTGCTAACAACTTCCCGGAACTATCTGAAGTATCATTAAACACGGGGAATATCAGTGCTGCTACAATCCTCTGACATAATTGTCTTCCCAGCTGTCTATCCTCCTGACATCAGTTATCACATATAACAAAGCATAAACCTCCACTTCCCCCCTCTCCCCTTTCTATAAATAGTTTCTGAAGGGACTACCCTGACAGCACAGGCCTCAGTGTTACCTTACACTGACTCCTCCTTGTGGCAGAACAGAGGAGAGGATTAACCAACACTCTGCTGTCAGAAGTGACGACTGAAAGAACAATCAACACCTACTGTGACACATGCTCTACAGACACTGCTACGTGCAGAGTAACACCTCTAATGTGTAACAATAGGGACAGCGTCAAACATCTGGGATCAGGTGGATTTGTGTTCTCTCCTCTCCAAGTTTGATTTCAACAAATAACAGTAATGTAAAGTTGATTTGCTAGCTTGCAGAGCATCTCTCTAGTGATTGTCTTGTTAACCTTGCAGGGCAGCACATTTCTTGGTTTGTTTTCATTTATTTTTTACATTTGATAGTTTCTACAATGTTTTTATTGTGTCATTATTAGCTTCAGAGTCTAAAAATTCAATTCTATTGAATTCTATTGAATAAATACCTTTTTACCTATTTGTTATACCTCACTCTGTTCTGTACTAGTAGGGATGGGGATCGAGACCCAGTTCCAAAAGGACCTGGTTCCAAAATTTCTCAAAACCCGAAAATCAGTATGGTTTGAGATTACCTGCAGCCAGCGAGAGAGGAGGAGGGACTGATACAGACTGATGTTATTCTTTCTAAACGTCACTCACTACTTGTGATGTCAGATAAAGTTATTGAGTTACGTTGCTGTTGTAAACATTAATGTTGCTGCTCTGGAAACAACATTTAGCTTTATTTAAAATATTACATTAAAAACAACCAGGCAGTTAATATGTAGCCAACACTTCAATATATGTTTATTTATCGCAAGTGATATGTCATCTCAATATATAACATTATCGCACATTGAATATTTTCCTCATACCATGCAGGCCTATCTCATGCCCGTTGGGTTTTACCAAATAACCATCACTAAATAATAGTAAAGTATCGATAGTGGTATCGATAAAGAATCAGATCGTTAAGCAGTCTCAATAAGGGTATCAATATCAATAAAACTTAACGATCCCCATCCCTATGTACAAGTCTACTAATTTCAACATGTGCAGCTAACAGCAAAAAGTTTACATGGCTCACGGGTCAGGTAGGAGGGCCTCTTAGAATCAAGTTATGTTTGCTAATTTGTTGTTTGTATCAAATTAAGTTAAGTTGCCCAGGGACTATTGATGAATTTTTAATTGATGAATAATTTTAATTTTTATAATTCTACCTCTTATTATATTATAAATGCTGTTCTGTTGTTACATTTGCCTTTTGGTTTACAGCACAAAGATGGAGAGAGCATAAATGGGTACGCACACAGAGAGAACCAGGTGAGAAAGTAGACAGGTAGTCAAGACCTTATGCTTATTATGCCAAGTCTGCCCACATTGACTGCATTTACGTCACAATTAGTCCTAACTCTTATTACGGGCTAAGCCCCCGTAAACATTTGATCCTGGAATCGCCCCTGAGCAAATGACAAGCAGTTCGTTCAATTTAAATGTTACATCGAAATATGTTTTTAAATGAAAATGAACGCAAACATTTTTAAATACATATTTATGGATTTCCATTACATTTATTTAAAACAATACATATTCTTCAGAAATAGTAATTGTTTATTTGTGGATTTGTTTTATATTTATATACAATGATAAATATTTTTGTGTGTATTGTTTTGTGGAATCAAGAAATACATTTGTGAATCCGTCTGTGTGATGATAGTGAGACTGATATAACTCCTTATTATGATGGTGACATGTAGTGTGGTGCCAAAACAAACCTCAAACCACTCCTGTATAATCTGACTGAAGTTTTGACCACAATGCTCTTCATCCGACAGTCATCGTCACACAAACATGCGCTGCCCATGACTATGTCACCAGTACATGACTAGTATGATAGCATTCCAGTACATGACAAAAGGCACATTTAAAAAACAGATTTCAGCAACGACAAAACAGCTGAGTCACTATAACTTTTTGACGTTTCTAGCAGCAACTTCCTTCATGCACGATATTTTTGTCGCTGTAGCTTCCAGTGGTTGAAAAATAATTCAGATCCTCTATTTAAAAATTAAGTTGTTCCACTGCAAGTAAAAGTCCTGTTTTTTAAATTTTACTTAAGTCAAAGTACAGAAGTTTACTTTCTTTACTTAGTATTAAAAATAATTAAAAGGGAAAGCAGCAAGTCCTCACATCTGAGACACTGGAACCATGAAATGTTTGGCATTATTGCATGAAAAATCACTACATGTTTATCAAAATAGTTAACAATTACTTGAACATTTACATGTTTGGTGTGCAAAAATGTGTAGCTGTCAAATAAGAAGTGGAAATAGGAAGTGTGTCATGATATCAAAATACTCAGATAAAATACAAGTTCTTCCACCACTGAGATGTAATGGGATGACATGGGAAAACAATGCTAAAAAACAACAGTACCTTTATATGAATTTTTGCAATTACAATTAACTAATACCAACCAATACACCAATACATTAGCCTTCTATAATTCCTACCTTCATGAAGGTTATAATATTACATTTTTCATCAGTGGTGTGATGAATTTGTTAACCATTGTATGTTGTTTTCCATTTCCTGTTTGACCAGAACTGAAAAACAAACCTGGTTAACCAGATCAATGCCCCTATTTATCACAGCTAATCTAAACAGTGTTGCAGTCGGTCACACATTGTCAGGCAAGGCTTTTTGAAGAAGGGTGAACAAAGTGTGTCAGTGTTGCTTCAGCTTTTCTGTCCCAGTTTCTGAGTCTGTTCTTTGATATAGCCTCATTACTTTAATGTCATGCAATTGTTTCCACAATTTCATCTCCAGGATGTAGTCGTGGTTGGCGTAGAAAATGACATCAGTTTTAACATTCTTCTCAACATAGTAGTTGGAATATTCCTTGTAGTCCTCAGTCATGAATCCATATGCGTTCACCTGAATGACAAAAACAGAGAACAGAAGAACTCACACCAAGAAAAGATTTGTTAAAAGAAAAGTTCAACATTATGAGAAATACACTTTTTCAATTTCTTGCTGAGAGTTAGATGACAAGATTAATGCCAATATCATGTCTGTTATATTTCTTAGGGGGCTTAATTGATGTAACAGGGAAAGGTAAGACAGTCCTAGCTTAGAGTCATTAGCTGACTGTCCTTGTTAGGGAGACAACAGTTAGACTGGTAAGGTAGAGACAGTAGCTCAAGGGTCAGGCTAGCAGACATCAGTGTTCTCTGGGAATCTGGCAAGGTTGAGTCTTACAAGAATGTTTACAAGAACTCACTGGCTCCACAGATTAGAGTACAACTCATGGGTAGTAATAGATTCCAATATGATGCAGCACTGGAGTCTAAACTCAGATAGATTAGTTGTTCTAGATTAAGGCCAGCTAAAGATGACCAGAGAAACTAAAGATGAAAGAGAAACATAAAAGGGAGCAAGAGATGTTATCCTTCAGATTTGGTGTTGGTATTTGACGTGTCCACATGTTGTATGCTGGCACTGTTTCTCCTCGGCTGGGCTCAATAAACCACGCTATATTAAGTCTTCATCAGTCTCCGAAACGTCTTCATCACAACTGAACCTGGCTCACAATATTTCTTTGACAACTGCCCCAAAAATTGGAAACTGCAGTCAGCAGACGGTTAGCTTAGCTTAGCATAACGACCAGAAACATGGGGAAACAGCTAGCCTGGTAACAACATTTGCTTGAACCAGTACAACTAAAGCTCACTAATTAACATGTTATATCTGAAAAACTGAAACGTAAAAACGTATTTAACCCAATAAAACACAAATTGTCGTTTTTACACTTCAGTTTTAATACAGACAAATACAAATACAAACAAGACATTAATTGGTGAGCTTTGGAGATGCTGGTAGGAGGCTGTTTCCTTGTTTCCAGTCTTTATACTAAGCTAAGCTAAACGCCTGCTGGCTCCAGCTGTATAATTAATGGACAGACACGAGATGTGTCTATTTTCTCATCTAACTCTCAGCAAATGTCTAACTGTTCTTTTAAGATTTCATAAACTATACCAATTTAGAGTTAAAATCTATAACTGTATACTTCATGTTTATAGAGGCATGGATACCTTTAGATGGCTAATATTAACTTACAGTGTCACAGGTGTGCAGAGCCAGAAAGAGAGTGAATGCCCCATTGGTTGGTCTGACTATCGCCCAGTCTGAATCATTCAGATAATCAGACTTTAAGAACCTGTGGGCAATGAACAACACCAAATGAACATAGACATACATACAAAAATCTGTCTGACCTATAAGACAAGGTAAACTACAGACTCCAAAGTGACCATAAAGTTAAAGCAGGTTTATTTGACTTGAGAAATGTTTTGTTATTTGTTTCATTTTTATCTGTTGGTTTTATTATTACTTTTTGTAATGTTATCAAACATTTGTACTTTGTTATTGTTCATTTTCAGCTTTTAATCCTGTTTTGTGAAGCAAAAGGGTTATCATTATTGTTATAAACCACACAAAGTAAGAAAGTAGGATTATAAAAGGAGGCTGACCTGTTCCGCACATATCTGAGGAAATCCTGGTGCAGAACATAGAAGCGGCTCTCATTGTACTGCCCGCCATAGTAGGTCCATGGCCTGGAGGGTTAAAATATAAATGTCAATAGGGTTAATGAAACAAGAACATGCTAAGTGGGCTTTATTAGTTTTGTCTGTACATGATGTTAATACTCTTTGCTGGAGCTTGAGGCAATTGGATGAGGAATGCCTTTCAAACTACATTGTTTTCTGGGTGACTCATGATAATCTGCTGTTATTGTTGGCAGCTGCTAACAGTATGGGCGGATGTTGCCTTTGTCAGTGCACTAGGGTAGGTAATGTATCTCAGAAGGGAAATTGTGGACTTGCTAGTTTTTGATCTTAAGCAATTTTTTCTCTTCCTCGCTTCCTCCGATGTGATATCCAAATCCAAGCTAGCTTCTTCCAAAGACCTTACATTGTACAAAATGTATTTTTTTCTTCTTGTTACAGCTTGCTTGATGAAGAGTCGTGCCGTAAACCATTACGCCATTGTAGTGATAAATGTCATGAATTCAATGTTACATAGCGCAGTCATTTTTTTATTTTTTATTTAATTTACATCCATATTTACGTGTAAAATTAAATATTTCCTAATTTAATTTAATTGCAGTAGCACATTCAAGACTCCATACAACACAAGTGGTAACATATCATGAGAAATTGACAAAGGACACTAAGGAACATAATGGTGACCCTACTCTTAAGAAAGTGAAGAATTTGCAGGGAAGATGGTACAAAGCTGTCCTGGAAATCATAAACACTTGATGAATAACTTTAGGGCCGAATTTACAAGACATTGGGTTGTAGTTTTTCACTTGTTTCAAGTTCAGTGTATGAGTTGTTGAGCAACAAAGCAGCATACAGTGTATCTTATGAGTGGTTAACATGACATGATACCTGCTTGCCTTATTCCATTAGTTTAGTAAGTCACAAGTTATGTGATTTTATAAATAAATGTTCTCCTGCATCAGATATTAGACCTGGTGACACGTTTCCAGGCCCCATCCACTATGTTCCAGCACTGGATATACTGTGTGTATGTGTGTGCATGCTACCCTCCACTAATAGTATATAGAATTGTTATTTACCGTTCATTGGTATACGGGCCAGTAGAGATCCTTTCTCTTTTGAAAAGCCCCTCTAGCCAGTTGAAATCCCTCATCCCCTCAGGAATCAGCACATATTTTATACCCTGCCAAAAGAAAGAAGATGACAGGTGAGTGTGTAAGTGTGGGGTTTTAATATTACACTCATGTCAATCGAGTTTGAGTACCTCATCATGAGGGGCAGATGTGTATCCATAGTTCTCGAAAAATATCAGCGACGCAGTGATGGAGTGGGCTGTGTGAACGTACACTGATGTTCTGTTTCCTACGTCTTCCTCAAAACCTTTAATGGCTGCACCGTTCATCCTGCCACACAAACAGATCGAAATGTGAGAGTGGCCTTCATTTATTATCTGTAAAGTATACAAAGTATCTGTATCAAGTTTAGTGTATAATGAAACACACAAGGACTCTGACTGCGGTTGACAGCAGCTGTCTCTTTACTTACATGCTAAACAGATGATAAAAAGGCAAATAGCAAAAATCAGCTGAACAAATACCACACATACCTGTCTATACTGACTGGTATATTATTTACTACATATACAAGGATTGACTGACATTATATGAGCACATACGTATATATATTTCATGGATAGGTCAGATTATAGGAAATGCAATGCTTAACATACAGTATATTACACATGTATACATTATGTATACTTTGCTATGCTTTTGATATATATTTTTTTGTCCTTATGTTAGCTACCGTCATCCTTGATATTTTTAGCCATGTCAGTGGCTATATAGATGGCAAGGTCCGTCTGTTAGTCCACCACTTTGGTCCAGACTTAAATATATATTTATATAACTGTTGGATAGATTCCCTTCACATTTAGGACAGACCTGCATGCTGCCAAGAGGATAAAGTTTACAACCCCTGATTTTCCTCCTGCATCACCATGAGGTAGCGTTGCCAACCGTCCCGTATTAGCCGGGATGTCCCTTATATTAGGCACAATTGATTTGTCCCATACGTGACCTCTCTTGTCCTGTTTTTTGACTAGGCTATACGCTGATTTAACCACTGACTGATACAACAGCAACAGCAGCAATGCTGATCACAACACTTGGCAATGGTCACCGACACCTGTCATCATCCAATCACAGCCCCCCCTCACGCGCCTCAGTAGGCCTACACGTTAAGTAACGTAAAATGCAGCTAGAGTGGAAATGAACAAAATAGCGGCAAGTGATGCCTCGTTGTGTATCAAACTGTCAAACATGGACTTCAGCACCGACAGTCTTGTTAAGCTAAACGGTGCGTTGTTTCATGACTCATAAGTTGTGAAGAAGATGCATTTGGCACGAAAAGAACGAAAGCTGACATGATCACAATGAATGTTTTAGGACCAAAGACGGTGCACGTTACTTGACTTTTATGAAGATAGTGATGAAACTGCAAATGGCAGGCTATTCATCAAGTTCTGATGAACTGCCCGAAAAAGCATGAACTGGAAATAAAACACATCACAAGCTACGTTCTTTTTAGTTAGTCATATGTAGGCTAGATGAAGGGGATAACATTTTGTAACCTACATAATATACACACAGAGGTACAGAAAGTAAAGGTGATGTTGCTATAGACTAAATGAAAAATGGTACAGATATTTATAGTAGTGTTAATGATAATAATCGTAATGTTAATGATTATAATAACAATAATAACAATAGGACTAGTAACAGTAGTTGTTGTAGCAGAGGGTGTCAAGCAGGAACACGGGGGCAGCAGGTGACCCGCAGCCACAGATCCAGACTCCACAGCTCCAGAGCCAGAAAAAACCTGCAGTAAGTGATGGGAGGTGAGAGGAGAGGGATGAGAAAGCACAAGACTACCGGAAAGGGGAGAAGTCGAGTTAGTAACATGCAATAATGGGATGAGGTTGCATAGAGAGGGAGAGAAAGTAGAGTATAGAGGAGCTCAGTGCATCATGGGAAATCCTCCGGCAGTCTAGGCCTATAGCAGCATAACTAAGGGATGGTTCAGGACTCCCCTGAGCCAGCCCTAACTATAAGCTTTATCAAAGAGGAAAGTCTTAAGCCTACTCTTAAATGTGGGCCTACTCTTAAATGTGATAAACCTACCAAATATTTATTAAAGAGATTAGCTATCATTATGACAAATTGCTTAAAAAAATACACTATATATTCACACAAAACCATACCCACACTGCTGCAGCTGGTCACTTTTTGTTCCTTATTTCATAGTGACAAAGGCAACACTACCATGAGGTAAAAATGTAAATGTTTATGGCCAAATACAGTCAGCCTCAGCTGTACTTTGTGTTAATTAGCAAATGTTAGCATGCTAAAAGGTTACGGTTATAGTGCGCTTGTTGCTATGCTAGCGTTAGTATTTACATCAAAGCCCCTCTGTGCCTAAGTACAGCCTCACAGAGCTGCTAGCTACTAGCTGCTAACATTTCTGGGAATGTGGGGGTTTTAGCAGTGTTGGGGGAGTTGTACTACAATTAAAAACCTAGATGAGGTGGGTAGTAGGCTGAATCCAGTATTTTTAGACTTCAGGAAAAGGCACATGTGAATTTACCACATGTTAAATACAGTACCTTTAACATGGCACACATGTTAAATGTATGTGGTTTTTCAGACATTCCCCCCATAATACATTTACATGATATAAGCACATGGGATTTTTAAGATAGATCACAGGTGAAATGTAAGACAGGTTTTCTGAACATGTTTGCACAAACAACATTAAGGTAACTACACAGGATTTTAAGAGTTGTTATATACTATATATTTATTAGATTTTATATTTTAACTGCTGCTCTATCATATATGTTAGATTCTCTCTTTTTACTTTTGTGATTTAAAAAAATACATGTTATTTGAGCATTGTTGGAGTGAGCCTGTGAATTAAGAATTTCATTCGTACAATGCCAAACAGAAACATCACAAACATGTATCATCTTGGCTACATACAGTGTCACCACAGACATTTCGACATGTCATAGTGGAAAAACCACAGGATTTAGTAATAACATTAACAATGGCTATAATTAAGGTGTGAATTTTCGGCCAGATGACTAACTGGCATAACACAATAGACTATTTTTACTTCCTCATAGTAGTTAGTTAAAGTGCAGCCCAATTGATTTGTCCCATACGTGACCTCTCTTGTCCTGTTTTTTGACTAGGCTATATGCTGATCTAACCACTGACTGATGCAACAGCAACAGCAGCAATGCTGACACGTGACAATGGTCATGACACCTGTCATCATCCAATCACAGCCCCCCCTCACGCGCCTCAGTAGGCCTACACGTTAAGTAACGTAAAATGCAGCTAGAGTGGAAATGAACAAAATAGCGGCAAGTGAAGCCTCGTTGTGTATCAAACTGTCAAACATGGACTTCAGCACCGACAGTCTTGTTAAGCTAAACGGTGCGTTGTTTCATGACTCATAAGTTGTGAAGAAGATGCATTTAGTGCCAATGTCATACACAAACATCACAAACATGTATCATCTTGGCTACATACAGTGCCATGCAGACATTTCATAATGGGAAAACCACAGGATTTAGTAATAACATTAACCATGGCTATAATTAAGGTGTGACTTTTTGGCCAGATGACTGGCATAACACAATAGAATCTTTTTATTTCCTCATAGTAGTTAGTTAAAGTTGCTTGCACACTGCTCAGACTGTGCCCAACTAACACCAACACTGTAAAGTTGGCAGCAAACTGTCAAGTTCACACAAACCAGACAGGAACTGACTATTTTTTCTTATTTAAGTCACAGGGTCGAGGCTGCTTGTTACTGGTTGTATTGGCCCTAAAGGCATTTTTACAGGTTGAAAGGACTGGATGAGCTACAATCAGCCATAACTCAAATATAACGCTTATAACTGAAATCAATTCATTTTGAGAACCTTTTAGTCACAAGTAGTGAAGTGGAATCAGTTTTTTGGCAAGTTCAAAACTGCACTGGCTATATGAGCTGTATTGGCCATTTAAATGTATTGCAACTAGTAATAAGCACTGATTAAGGTATATTCTGTCTTTTGGGCAAGTGCAACTGTGATTGTTCCGTTACAAGAAACATTAACATTTCACAAAGACCTACCTTTGCTACCATGGACATAAAGTGCGTATTTGAATGTTATGACTCTTTGATAAAAGCAGCTGTAGATGTATAGATACTGCCGTTAGAGCTTTAACATGCTGCGTGCAATCAGTTTTCGGCGGATAATTACTTCTAAGCACGACACCTCTTGCTTCCTTCAGTGCATGTTCTGATTCGGACTGCACGAAGAGGAGAGGCTGTTCACAGACGGGTCTGTTTCCGAGGTCCAAGGGGCGAGTAATAAACACCTTGCTAACCTACATATACATCGAAGAAAGTCGTGCGCGCTGATGTTCCGCATGCGAGTAGGCTTAGTTGTCAAGGAACACTCTCAGAATGTTGTAGTTTGTTGGAAAACGGTGCAAGTTCTACGACTCCACCTGAACCGGCTGGACATGTCAAACTCTAAAGACTCCATCCGACTGACACCGACGAACACCGACTGACAGCGCACACTGATCAAACACTGATCAGTGTGTTGGTTGGAGTCGTTCTGCGTTTGTCTGGGCGGTGTGCAAGCAGCTTAAGACAGCTTCAGTTACTTCAAAATTCTGATTCTTCTGATTCTGATTCTTGTGATTCTGAAAAATAGCAACATTTTACTTTTAAAGGTTCAGTGTGTAAGATTATGGGTTGTGAATTGCAATCATCTGTCCAGTCTACCACTGTCCCCTTACCCTTTCAAAGAGCGTAGGACAGCTACGGTGGCTGACACAGCACAACAGGTGTCTCTTCTGAGACAGCAGAGAGTGGCCAGTCAAGAAATTAGGTTTCTTTAGGTATATTTATTTAAGAAATGATATTTACTTAATATTCAGTAAAACCAGTTCAGTTATTGTGACTTGGCTAGTGACAGACAACATGGAAAATGTAAGCTAAGAGTGTGAAACACTGTCACTGTTTCTGCACCACAGCCCATTATAAACCACATATTAAATAAAGTTTATACAAACATTGACAAGGAAAACACATTAATTCTGTCTGTGATTATGGACCATCGTCAAAACTAACCGCCATCAATAATATCAGGCCCACTGCCAGATTATGGTGCTAAATAAATAAATGCTTTGATAATGGTGCTGAAATTAATCTCATGGCAGCAACAGTTACTCGCATAATCTCTTCCTCATTGGTGGTTTTGCCTACAAAATAAAAGTGAAGAAGCTTGTTTACTGCAATGCACTGGAGTTGAGCTGAGCTTTTACTTTGAAAAATTCTGAACGAGATTAAAAGAGTCTGTAGCCTGCTTGACACACCTCTGAAAGAGCCGTCAGAAAACGTGATTCCCTTAAATGTCCTCTGACTGGAGATACTGGGGATGCAAAAGCGTCCGTAGGCTGATGGATGAGGATCAAACGCTGAAACAAAAGTAGTGCAGCACATACCGTGATCTGACAAACCTTTGCTGCAAAATCCATTTGTTGAAGAGAGAAAAAAAAAGTTATCTCAAGGTGTGATCAAACCCTCAACCCTTGAGTTGTGAGTCCTGCGCCTTCCTAAATAACACATTGATGAAAGTCAATATTATGGCTTATATTCTCAGCCACCATCTAATGGTTGAAAATATTGCTCCGATGCAAAACTTATTTGCAGACCCCTGCAGTATATTCTTACTACTTTTTCTTCTTCTAAAGTACGTGTTCAACATAGTGATGAGTGTCTGCACTGCCTGAATTCTACCAGAAGTAGAACAAGAACAACTTAGTGATGAAATGCGCTCTGTAGCCCCGTCCATTTTCAGCTACTGTAGGAACATGATGATGCAATGTGGCGACATCCATCAAAGGGGGTGCCCGCGATTATGTAGATGTAAAAGGCTCATTCTAAGGTAATGAAAACATAATGGTTTATTATGTAAGGTCTTTCCACACCACTGAAAACATAGTTATGGATATTATATTGTATTTCTGTGGATAGATCCTCAGAAATATTACACACTCAAATCGAAGTATTGAGTTTGGGGAAGTGTTGAGTTTGGGGAAACGTTGGGGAAAAGCATGGAGCAGTATGTGGAGCTCTGGTCTGTGTTTTTGTTGTGGTTGATTTGTAAAAAAGACAGCCAGCGATAGTGCTCAAACAGCTCACCGTGAGTTGTAGTTTCCCTGGTAAACACACTGCTGCTGCTCAGGGTCACTCCTCCTCAGCTTACTAGTTTGTAACTCAGTTTCTTTGAACATTTAAATATTATACTGCATCAAGTCACAATAAATCGGCATCGGCAACAACAAGCTTCTATTATTGCCTATGATCACGTAAATGTCATGCCTGGTTACGCTATAAACTGCAAACACTTTTCCCTATTTGGCCTCAATTGTGATTATTCCGTTAAAAGAAACGTTAAAGTATCACAAAGACATACCTTTGCTATTACCACGGACATACAGTAAAGTGATGTTTATTTGCACATTATGTCTGTTTGATCGAGACAAAAGCAGCTGTAGACGTAAAGAGACTGGGTCATACAGCATCACTTTTTGGCATGACACCTGTATGCTCTGCTGTCCAGTCTTTCTGGCCACATAAAATCTGATTTCAGATCTGTTAACACCTTATACAGTCTATGATTAACTCACAGTTAAAAAAGGGGACATTTCCGGGGACAGCTCCAGACAGGGACAGTCCACAAAAACCGGGGACTGTCCCTGGTAAATGGGGACATCTGGTCACCCTATGTCAGTAGAGCAATTCCACTTAAAATGATTGACATAGCTAAGACAGCTTTGGCAGCTCTGCATGGCAAAGAAAAGAAAAAAGCGACAACCTGCTGTATAAGCACCAACGCTGGCTGTATGTTTTACCAACCAACCGCAAGAAAAACACACAATCATAGCTATATATAACATAGCCTCCATGCTTTACTGAAACTCAAACCATTTCCCATTATTCAACATTCTGATAATGTTATGAGTTGTATTTTTTCCCTGTGGGTTTCTGAGTTTTGCCATTGTTTCATGTGTCCTTCTGTTTGGCTCTGTTTCTCTCATTTAGCTCATGTTTAGTGTCATTCCTGGTCTGTGTACTTCTGTATTATTTTGTCCATGTTTGTGCTGTGTTCTGTTTAATCTTAGTTCTGTCTGTTTTCCCTGTTAGTTGTAGTTTATTGGTGTCTGTTTTCCCTGCTGTCTCCCTGTGTCTCGTTAGCCTCATGTCTTTCACCTGTGTTGCTCTCGCCTTTGTCATTATCCCTGGTATATATGTGTGGTGTTTCTGTTCAGCCCTTGTCTGGTGATTGTTCATGTTACTCCTTTATCTGGCTTCAGTTTCCCAGTCTCGTTCTGTTGGATTACCTGTTTAGGATTTTTGTTACTCATTTGGATTTTTCTGGACTCAGCCACTCAGTCTGCAAGTGTGCTCGCCTTTTGTTTGTAAAATAAATCACTTTTAAACTGTACCTCCTCTGCCTTGCGTCCTGCGTTTAGGTCCTCCAACCTGCTCAACCCACACCCATCGTAACAGATAAACGGTACATTCATCAAATTCAGTGTCCGTGTTGCTATTTTCCAAGCTACTGTAGCTGTCATATACCATCGTGGCCTTTGTCAAGTGGAAGTGGTCATGGTTTCATCTAACCTGGCTTGAAAAAACAGTAGATGCGGATAGGTGCCCCAACGGAGCTCCTTTGATTGGCCAAATGGGTTCTCTGATCTCTGAACAGTGTCTGCACCTGGCTCTACAGGTGCATTTTTCAGAAGGTGTAACTGTTGTGTTGTGTCTAAGTTTGTAACTCCTAAAGCATTTTTCTCTGTGACATCAAATTAACTGATACACATGTGACTATTTTCTGCATCTACAAATTCCACTGTCACAAGTGCTCATTTATTTTGCTCCAATAATGCCTTCATAAATATCCTGGAGCTGAACAAACTCAAAAAACTCAACGCTTACATCAACATCCTTAACATGACTGCTCTTGGCGGTTTGAGAGTTGGTTTTAGCCCAGCCTAATCTCAAGCAAATATTTTAAAATACACATTTGTTCTCCAGTGGTTTAAATAAAAGTTACAAAGCTAACTTTTGAAGATTAAGCATTGTAACGGACTGACAGGTCTTAAATACAGGGTATTATAATTGATGTGTGCACAAATCGCGGCCTCATGGGATCCCCACCATATCTAAATATTGCCTCAGCAAATAAAGAGAATGACCTGTGCTCCTGATAGCAATCACCTCAGCAATGACACAGGAATATATGATCTTTAAAATGTTTTCCATGAATTACCTGCTGAATTGTTTTGAAACCTCATAGCCCGCCATGTGAGGTCTAACAAACAATGACTGTTTATTCCTCTTTCTTACCGGAAAACGTAGTCGTGAGCGTCGATCTCTTTCCCCATTTTAGAGCCATTGAGGATCCCACCAGTGGCCACCACAGCACATCTCACACACCCGCCACTTCCTGGCTTTGGAAGGAGTAATGGCTCTTTTGGCTTTGGGATCAACTTCAGTACTGACATCACATCTGACAACCAAAAAACACAAAATGCACATAGAAGCTGGAAAACTGTTGGCAATCAGAACGTTTCTGCAAACAAAGCTCTAGCATATTGCTAATGGTTTGCTAAGTGGTTGCATAGCAAGTGTTTGCAAATATGTTATACTTGAAGTGTAAACAAACACTATGCAATATGACATCTGCAACTGCCCTTGTCTTTACTGAGATTTATCAACAAATATTTTACACGTAAAAGTCCTTCATTCAAAAAATAAGAAAAAGAGAAACATTTACTACTTCTCCTCATCACCCCACACACTTTGTCTCTTCAATTCAGTAAATTTTTCACATCAGCTAAGCCTAAAAGTGTTTTTTTTGTGTGTGGCCAATTTTCCTGAAAATTGCCAAAGACAATGCTAATTAACATCCACTACTGTTATGCAACTATTAAGGGTTGGTTCACTGAATTAAACAGTTGGTGCTAATTCTCCAGTCGCGTGCCATTAAACCATTGCAGAAGAACAGGGCGCAATGGAATTGTATAGATTAAAGAACGGCAGTCACATCTCAACAGCCATGTGGAAAACAAGATGGAAATAAAATCTCCTCATTACCCATCACACGCTTTGTCTCTATAGTTTACCTCTGCCAAGCATATAAACAAATTTAACATGCGCATAAAAACATTTGGATGTACCACTGTAATGTTTAGTACCACTGCCAGAGGCAGGACCCTTATTTTGTAACACCAGGAACCGGAAATGTAGAGTACAGAAGTTAGCAGAGATGTAAATATCCATTCCATTCAATAAAGGTCCATTACCCAGCACCACACAATTATGAAATACAGTGTCAGCACACTTGTCTAACACAGACGCACACAAACACCTACCGTTGTACTGGTACTCCATAAAACCAAAAGGGTTGTTAAAATGTGATAGTCTGTTCCACTCGCTCATGTTGATGCTGTCGTTGTGCAGAAACAAACGTATGTTGGGAAGGAAAGCCTTCTTCAAGCTCTCATCTTTAGAGTGTCGTAGAGACTGGGCACATGTCTGAGAATGAAGGATAAAATATTCAATCATAATAACAATCAACAGGGAAATAAATAGGGAAAAAACAATTATGAGAATGTAATTTCCACCTTGTTCATCTGGCTGAAACCATTGATTTGATCAAGGCCCCACACAGCTGAAGAAACAGCAGGGAGAATCAGGTGCTTCATTCACCATTGTTGATAGTGTGTGGAATATTTAAAGGGAAAAGCAAACACACCACCGATCCAAGTCACACCAAAGACACACAACTGAAGAATGCACGGCTGTGCAAGTTTCATCCCGGTTTATCCACTCCCACAAAATTAAAACATTTTTATTTTTTGTCCTATCTTCACATAACTTGCTTACTGTCTGTCTGTGTGGAGCATCCTGGTTATAAACATCCTCAAAATCCCACTGAGGAAGCTTCTTGAAGGAGTTTCTTGAGAGGATTGGCATGGGAGTCTCAGCCACAGCGCCACGTTTAGAGGCTCCCATTTGATCGGTTACTGGGTTTGTTTTTGTGAAATCTGCAATTTTTGCTTTATGTGTAGTTGTAAACACAGCAGGCAGGGTGGAGTTTCCTCTTTTATGCCAGAATGCAATATAACTTTTCAACAATCTGTCTTCATCTCTGTTATTTCCTGAGAAAGCAGTCCAACTGAGTTGGTAATTTGACAAAAGAGCAATAGAGGCAACATCAGAGAATTAGCGAGATACACTTTAATAACAATACTGTACCTGGAAATGCGCTGATATTGATTTCTTCAAAATAACAAATATAGCCAAAGTTCTTGCAGATAAAAATAATCATAGTGTTAAGTTCCCTTCTTTATCCTTAATGTTTCTCTAGACAAAACATAAATACAACTTACCTGCTGGTTGTTGATAAATATTCCCATGATAACACTAGAAGTACACTGGCAACTGCCATCAGAAACAGCAAAGAAAAAATCTTGACCGCCATCCCTGAGAACTGCAGGCTTTGCTGTTCAACTAGTGACTGCTCAACTACTGTTTGCTTTCTCTCCTGGATTTTGTTTGCAGGATATGTAACCTAAAGTAATGGGGCAGGGCTACTGCCTGGTTTACCTATACAGATCCACAATAAAACGGGAACCACACACACTATTACAGTGGTACATGATATGGTTTATTACACGACAGTGGGGAAGTTATGCATAATTAGCTTTAAAGGATTTGTATATGTTACAGATACAGATTTAATTCAAAGTTATGTAAGAAATTAAAACATTTTCTTCTTTTATTATAGTATAAAACTTTTTGGAACAATAGCCCTGTATGCCTTTCAGTCCTTATTTGCATTGTGTCAGCTAAACAGTACTGTTGTGGATTGGGAGAAATCCAGTTGCTTTGGTTTAGTCTTCATATGGATGTGACAACAACAAAACAACACAATAAAACAAGTATGTCATATTAAAACACGAATAAGAATGGAGGTTGAGTGGACAGTACAGTTGCTGTTTAATATTGTGAACAAGTATTTGGAACTGGAAGTATTTGGTACTGGAATAGTCCTTCAGTAGAGCTCACAGGTTAAAGAGCACAATCAGACTTTATAATGTTCATCAGGCTAAATTCATCCTGACAAACAGCTGTAACAAAGCCCAGGAAAAACATAAATCAGAAGTTATAAGAATCCCCCTACTGAACTTTTCCAATTAATTTTATTAAATAAGTCCATTATGTTTGCAAATGAAAAGATGTAGGTACACATCATCTGATTCAATATACAATGATGAACCAAATAAGTACATATTTAATACAACAAAAGTTCAACTTTTTAGGAAATATGCTTATTAACTCTGGCGGACAGTTTGATAAGATTGATCTCTTGCCTATGAGGTATATGAAGCTACCACCTGCAGACATTTAGCTTAGCTTAGCATAAAGACTGGAAACTGAAAGAAACAGCTAGTCTGGCTCTGTTCACTTACAAAATCCATCTTCCAACAGCTCTAAAGCTCACTGGTAGATATGTTGTTAGTTTAATCTGTAGAAAAAACAAAAAAATGTCTCTGAGAAGTTGCCAGGCAACTGTCGGAGACTCCAGGAAGTTACTGGTCCCAACCAAGAAATAGTGTGGTACATAACCCCGTAAAACAACAAACTGTCATTTTTACACTGTGATTTTAATACGGATTAAACAAATCACACGTTAATTAGTGAAGTTTAGAGGTGCAGGTAGGTGGTTTTTTGTAATGTTTGGACAGAGCCACACAACCTGTTTGCCCCTGTTTCCAGGCTTTGCGCTAAATTAAGCTAACTGGCTGCAGCTTCATATTTAATGTACAGATTTGAGAGGGGTATCAATTTTGTCATCTAACTCTCTGCAAGAAAGAAATAAGCATATTTCTCAAAATGTCAAAATATTATGAGTAAAAAAATCTTTGGCTCAAAGCAGGGCTTAAAAGTCAAGCATCTCAGTCCTAATTGACCCTTTGCTAAGTCACGCCCCCCTTAGTTACTGTTGCTATGTCCGACAAACTGTCGGCGCTGCCACTGCCTATTACTGCACTTCCCGGAGAAATATTGTCAAATTTGCTGGAAAAAGCAATCTCAGAAAGAAGCACACAGTGTTGCAGTTGCATTATAGATTTGAAGGTTGTATGCAGGCTGTCAAACTGACTCAAGCGGACGTGATAAAAATGAAAGACAGAAGCTAAAGCCTACCGATCACACAGTACAAGTGAACCACCACATCCCCGACGACTGAGACAAAAGACAATGATATTAAGGATCAACACTGTTCCTGAAAAGCTGGGTAGGCCTCTATTCACTATTCATTAAAAAGCAGAACAGCAGGGTTTTATTACGTTCCATTCAGCGTTAGCTAGCGTTTGCTAACTAACTTACTTCTCCAATCAACCTCTCTGGGTAGCGACTGCAACTATTATACTATTAAGTGCCCCAGGAACAGCGTTTGACCATATCTCACAAGAATACAGCCCAAAAAAAAGCTAGAAAATACTCTTTTTGCATTAGAGCCAATGGAGCGCAAAAGGTCTCCATTTTAAAACAAAAACGTAGAGAGAGAAGCAGTCAGCTGATGGGAAACTCACACTGAAGGATCAGTCTCTCTCTGCCTGATGTGCTGTGGGTCAAGACAGTTAAACTCTGGTAGCGGGTGGGTGATTGTGTGAGATTAGCACTATGGCAAGGATTATACTTTCCGCGTCCGCGAGTATGAAACGTATTAATATATTATATATTTTTTCTTTTTTTCCTAAATAGTAGGCCTGTTACAATATATTCTTGTCTTGATGTCATGGCCCCAATCTTGTGCAGTGTTACGTCTCATGGGTTAAGTGTTATGAGTTGCAGTTTTTTGTTTCATGTGTCCTTCTATTTGCCTGTTTCTCTCGTTCCTTGTCCTTTTCTTTGTGTGCCCATGGAATCTGTTAACCTCCACTCAAGGGTTTCCCAGGGTTGGCCGAGAAGTTAAGGATATGACCAAGACACTTGAACTGTGTAACATCAGCATCGTCAACTTTGGGGGCTCCACAACCCGATTCTGGAACACGTCTCAGAGAACGGAGCAGAAAATATACAAGCCCATCATGACAACGAATCCAACAGCCTGGACTGGCATGGAGTGTTTCACCAGACAATGTCTCACACCAAGAGATCGTTTCCTGGGAACATCATCATGTAAGCAGACGGTTACAGCAAGCTGTGGCACCACATGGGATAATGGAGCCAGGCGTGGCTGACAACAGGCGGATGGAAGAATGTGCTGCTTAAAATGTTGACCCCACTGTCATTCTTGGTGTTTTCCTTCTCCTGACTGTGTGATCCCTTGTGCTAGATCTATGATTGCTACAGCAATTAAATCATCTATGGGTCAGTACATGCAATTACCAACTGCACCCACTGATTCAATGGATTCAATGGAGTGGATCCCACCTTTCAGAGGGGATGAAAGTGAAATTTCATCTGAATCATTTCTAAGTTTATTAGTTATCTTCTGAATCATTAGTCTTTGCAAATGTAATGAAATTTCACATTTTGCATAATTACAAGTGTTTGTATTGTGTCTTTATATTCTATATTTCTTACATTATATTTTCATTCCTTATATTCTCATATTCTAACATATGTCTTATGTTCTTATATTCTCATATTTTTACATAATCACAAGTACTGCTGAAGTTACATGAAATGTTTAAATTCTCATTATGTTGTGCAATAAAATGCATAAAATGCTATAAGGGAGTAATGTAATGGGAATTTCATAAACAACATCTTTAAAACACTGCCATGTAACTAATCTCACTAGGGGCCTCCAGCCTCTTGGGTATGGAGACAATGGAAGGTGTGTGATGCTTTAACATAGAGGGGTCAGGACTTTAAGTGGTTCACCACATGTACCTTGGACATGGGTGTCTTTCCATAGATCCAGGGGAACACTGAAAGACACCATGTTCCTCAGATATAGTACTCTGACCCTGAGACTAAGATAAAAGCTGCATGAGCTGTTACACTGTAGCTCACTCGGATGATACTCTCTGATGTGTATGTGTCCCGGTGAGTACCTTCTGCAGAAGACTTGAATAAAATTCACAGAAAGAAAAGTGTTTGCTTGAGCTGTTTATTTAAACACGCTTTTTCCCACGACAGTAGTTTATGTCTTGTCTTTTATCTTAGCTCTTGTTCCTGTATTTTAGTTCTTTGTCTTTGTTCCCAGTCCTGTGCCTTGGTTCATGTTTTAGTATTTACTTCAGGTTCCTTGTCTGCATTATTTTAGTTTAGTCTGCTCGTGTCTGAGTTAGTTTGTTTATTTCTGATCTGTTACATCTTGGCCTGTGTTTAGTGTTCAGTAACCTGTGTGGTGTCTGTTACCCCAGGAATCCCTCTGCATGTCAATCTCTATGTTTTCCGCTGCTCTCTCTCTGCCTGCCTGTGTCTCGTTAGTCTCATGTCTGTCACCTGTGTTACTCCCGCCCTGCTCGTTAGTCCCTGGTGTATATATGTTCTCTGTCAGTAAGTGTGCTCACCTTTTGATTGTTTTGCCACAATAAACCCCCTTTGAACTGTACCTC